TGGGGGGGGGGGGGGGGGACGTGTGTGTGTGGGGGGGGCGTGAATCGCCACAATTGCATCCTGGTGCCGTAGCGGCTGCGTCTCTTCCTCGTTGACAGACAGACAGACAGACAGACAGACAGAGAGAGAGACAGACCAGCTCAGAAAACAGACAATGCTCAGATGCAAAGAAAATTGCATCGTACATACCAATGTGTCTGTGTGTGTTGCTTTCTCTGGCACCAAGGGAGCTCACCATGTACATGGCCCTCAAGCTCTTTATGATCTCCAGGTCGCTGTACGGCTTATCTCCCTCACGTGCCTGTACGACGTTAGCAGTACAGACAGCGGCAAGTAGGAGCAATAGAACAATGATCAGAAGCAAAGTTTGGATTTCTCAAAGCTGGTTGGCGGCACCTCATCCTCCCTATAGCCACATGTCAATTCGCTTTTCCCCTTCCCCTTGCCCATGCACATACACACACATACACACACTTGCACATGCACACAAGTGCGTACACACACGCACATGCACGAACTACGTAAGATGTAGGGGCAAACAACTCCCCCACAAGCTATCCCCTCCTCACGTTGTTCAAATCCTTTTGCAACTGAACGCGCCTTAACACGCTCCACACTACCACACTACCACGCACGCACACAGTCACGCACACATCTTGAACAACCCCCCTGCCACCCACACGTCCATTGAGGCGAACATACACCTACCGACCCCCACACCACCCCCTTCCCCTTCCCGCTACCCGCACATCAACATAACCCCCCAAGGTCGTTTCCAAGTCGAGGAAATCCCCTTTCCAATTTCCGTAACCTCCACACCAACACCCCCCCTCACCCCCCGTCCTCTCAACCCATGCAACCTTCGGGACCCCTACTATCCCCCTACCTGCGACTGCTCGTGGTACAGGAATTTGGTGACCTGGATGAGGGCCGCCAGACTGCGAGACAAACTGCGCTTACACACACCGCGATCTCGTTCCTGTGCGGGTGGGAAAGACGAACCATAAACGAGTCAAGCTGCTGCCAGGGCAAGAGTGTACCAGACGTATAGGACTGACCGAAAGGCGGGTGGGTCGGGTCGGGTCGGGTCGGGGGGTTGTCGTCCGGCGCGCGGCTTAGGTGCCGAGAGTTGGGTCGGGTCAGGACTCCAGAGGGAAGCACGACTGCGGCCACATACATACAATCTTACAGACGCAGCCAAGATACGTAAGCTGGGATGTACAGGGGTGCCGCCGCCCCTACGGTATGGACCGTCCATACTTGGCATCGTTCATACGCCACTAAACCCCTTAAACCCCTGCGCTTCCCCCCCCGTGGTCCTCTCCCCCCTCTTGCTGGGGGCCCCCCCCTCATACCTGCCACGTGAGGAAGGCGTGCACCCTCCTGGCCGCCCCCCTGTGGGTCCCGGGCACCAGCAGCCCCAGTCGCAACTCCCCCACAGCCACCCCCTCCACGCGGTGAAGCCAACCAAGTGCCTGACTGGAGGCCGGGGAGGGGGCGGGGGGTTAAGACGAACCCAAAAACTGACGAATGAAGCAGGTATAAGAGATAGACGGATAGTTCAGGGGAGGACAAATGCTGCATCAGGAAGAGCTGCTGACCAGTGATGATGACTTGGGAGTAATGGTCTTGGCAGCGACGTGGCCAAGACTGGCTAGCTGCCAAGTCCAAAGACTAAGGAATGCAGAAGGCGATAAAGCAGGGGAAAACTACCTAGCCGCCGCCGAGATGAGAAGAAAGTCCTTTTTAGGAAAGCAGGAAAGCAAAGGAACCGCAGTGGTGAAGTGTAGGACTAAAGGCGGCAAAGAGAAAAAGAGGAAAAAGTATCGGAAAGTGTAATGCGAAGTAATCGGAAAATGTACGCGGCGAAAGTGGTAAACTACGTTTTCGCTGATTTGTAGTGCTGCTAAGCAGACTGCTTACTTGCTTACATGCATACGTGTGTTCCTCCCAGGGCCCCCCCCAGCTAACACACGCCTAGCCCTTCGACCAACCCAACGAACCCAGCCCAGCTAGCCCGCCGACGTGGCGCGAAACAACAAACGACAGAACTCTCGGACCCGCCAGGACTCACCTGGCCAGGCGGCGGGCAGCAGCAGAGGCGGCGGGCAACAGGGCATGTGACACAACAAAAACGGTTTGTGAGCAGCAAGAAACGAACAGGAAATGCTGAAACGAAATGCTGCTAAACGGAGAAGGAGAACTAGGTATGGATGGTGACTACAGCAGAAAAAAGAAATGAAGATGACTCTAAAAGCATTGCCGAACGGCAAAGAATGCAGGGTCGTACAAGGTTTAAGATTCCGCAAGCAAATACGAATGAGAGCGATAACCGCATGGGGGGGAGGAGGGTAAAGACTAACAACTGGGGGTGGGGGGTGGGGGGGAAAGACGAACCACAAACGAGTGAAGCTGCTGCCAGGGCAAGAGTGTACCAGACGTAAAACTGACCGAAAGGCGTCCGTGAAGACCGCGACCCCGCGGGGGTGGGGGGAAGGGGCAGGAGGAGGGGACGGGCATGGGTGATGGAGCAGACCATGTGCCAAGTGCTTATGCTGAGGTCACATCCGCTTGACGACTTCCCTCCCGAGCGGGCCCCCGTCCCCGCCCCCTCCACCTCCCGCCGCGCCCTCGTCCTCGTCCCCCCTCCCCGGCCCCTGTTGTTACTGCTGCTGATGTTGTTACTGCTGCTGATGTTGCTGTTGTCGCTGCTCACCGCACACATTGAAGGTAGCCGCGGCAGGTGGTTGGTCTCAACGGCTCACCCAACTGGGAGCCCGTGAAGGAGCCGTACAAACTGAAGGATTCAAATTCCCGCAGCTCAGCGGCCAGTGCGGGGGGCGTCTCGGCCTCCTGGAGGGCACACCTCACGCACCCGGGGGTGAGGGAGGGGAAAGACGAGCCACGAACGAGTGAAGCTGCTGCTGTGAGGGAGGGGTATTAAGAGGCTATTGAGGGAGGGGTGAGCGGGCATTTA